CTGAAAAAGCAGTCAAGGACTCTATTCCATTCACAGTAGTGCCAAAGAAGATGAAATATTTAGGAGTTTACCTAACAAAGGATGTGAAAGATCTCTATATTGAATGAACATTATTGAAAGTGAGCTAGCATCACAGGGAGACAAGCATGGGTTTGCAAGGGACCCATTCCAACCTTGCAACATTGAGACTCAATTTCACCGGTCAGTTGAAGGGTTAATACTTTTTGTTATTTGGACATAAGAAATCATGTGCCACATATATGACACATGTATTTTTTATCATGCCTTTTCTATGTTTGGATATATTTAGATACATAAACACGGTTGTGTTACAATAGCCTACAGTTTCAGGACAGTGATGTACTGTTGAGATTTGTATCTTAGGAGCAATAGCTTACATATCTATATAGCCTAGGCGTGTAGTAGGCCATGCCATGTAGGTTTGCTTAAGTACACTCAGAGATGTCTGAAGACTATGAAATCGCCTGGTTATATTTCTCAGAATGCATTCTCATTCTTAAGCAATGGGTGACTGTATTCAGCCTTGTGTTTTCTGCTTGAGCTTCCTTATCGACAAAGCTAACTATATATACTGGTTTTCCCAGGATTGTCTCAGTTTTCAATGTTTTCCTTAAAAAATTAATATTATTATTTTTAATTAACAAAATAGTTGAATATATTTATAGGGTACAGTGTAATGTTGGTGAGAAGGGAATGGGGAAGTGTTGGTCAAAGGGTATAAAATTTCAATTAGGCAGGGGGAATATGTCTGTGTGATTTGTTGTATGGCAGGGGTGATGATAGTTAATGTGTATTTCAGAATTGCTAAAAGAGTAATTTTCTAATAACTCTCCACCAAAAAAAAAAAAAAAACAAAAAACTAAGTAGGTGATAGGATGGGTTCATTAACAAGCTTGATTTAGTCATTCCACATTGTCTAAGGCAGTAAGTCTGGATAGTCACCAACATTTGTATTTTAAAATAAGTATCATAAGAATATAGCATAAACTCTGTAAGTTAATGACCCAAGGGCCTGTAACAAACTGGTTAGCATGTGGAGGTGGTCAACATGAGGAACTAGGGCTGCTGTACTGATCTGTACATGTGGTGCACGTCTGGTCTATGAAAATTAGATTGACTTAAGGAGGTGATTACGGTAGGGAGGCGACCAACTTTAGAGGTTCTACTATATTTATACAGTTTTTCTTTTAACACATGATTTGAAATACTGGAGGATGATGCCTAGTCTCAGAAATGCAGAGGGTGCCAGGAAAACATATACACATTTTAAAAAAGGAAAAAAAGTGTATTAAAAATTGTAATACCCAAGTCACATTTGACCTCTGCAGTTACAGCAGGTGCTCAGACTTGGTGACTTGGATTCATCTTTTGTTATCAGTCTATATTGAGCATTACAATTTTAATATAGTTTTTTCCTTTATTGAAATGTGTATACATTTTCTGGCACCCTCTGTATATATGAACACATGCATATATAAGGCACCTGCACTTGTACATTTATCAGAGCACAAGTCACAATTACAAAGGACAAGGAATCTACCTAAGTGCCCACTAACCAATGAGTGGATAAAGAACATGTGGTACATACACACCGTGGAGTGTTACTCAGCTGTAAGAAAGAACAAAGTTGTGTCTTTTGCAGCAACACAGATGGAAGTAGAAGTAATTTTTTTTTTTTTTTGAGACAAAGTCTCATCATGTTGCCCTTGGTAGAGTGCTGTGGCATCATAGCTCACAGCAACTCTTAGGCTTAAGCGATTCTCTTGCCTCAGCCTCCCAAGTTGCTGGGACTATGGGCTCCTGCCACATCACCTGGCTATTTTTTTGGTTGCATTTGTCATTGCTGTTTAGCAGTCCTGGGCTGGGGTCGAACCCGCCTACATCAATGTATGTGGCCGGCACCCTAACCACTGTGCTATGGGGCACTGAGCCTGGAAGTAATCCTAACTCAGTGATTTCAACAGGCATGTCTTGAAAATTTTTAAGGATCATTAATTGAATTCCTTTTGAAAAGAAGTTCAAAGCACAGTGCGTATACCCTTTATTTTTATTCTTTTTTTTGATTAACATAATTTAAGTGTGCCATGGAAGTTTAACTATAGGTTCAAGTGTCCTGTGAGATAAAAAATAGTTGAAAAACACTGGTCTAAAGCATGAAAGTGATTATTTTTATTTTTTTTGAGATAGAGTCTCATTCTATCACCCTGGATAGAGTGTGGTGGCATCACTGTAACTCACAGTAACCTCAACATCAAGAGCAATCCTCCCATCTTGGCATCCCAGAGTGCTAGGATTATAGGCATGAGCCACCATACTTGGCTTCTTTTTTGAGTATTATATATATATATATATATATATTTTTTTTTTTTTTTTTTTGAGACAGAGTCTCAAGCTGTTGCCCTGGATAGAGTGCCATTGTGTCACCACTCACAGCAACCTCAAACTCTTGGGCTAAAGCGATTCTCTTGCCTCAGCCTCCCAAGTAGCTGGGACTACAGGTGCCCACCACAATGCCTGGCTATTTTTTATGTTGCAATTGTCATTGTTGTTTAGCAGGCCTGGACTGGGTTCAAACCCACCAGGCAGTGTATATGTTGCTGGTACCCTACCCACTGAGCTATGGGCACCACCATTGAGTATAATTTTTGGTTATCTTTGCTTTTGCTCTTAACAGTGTCCTGTCTAGATGATAAATTTTATGATCATGCTACTCCTAGACAGTAATGGCAACTCTAGCATTTTGTGTGTTTGTCACCTTTATCCTCTATCCTTCAATTTCACACAGATTGCATAGTTCACAAACAGATGTGAGTGTGGCCCTTGTGTTGACAGCACCATGGGGCCTGGATGGGTGACTAACATGCTTCTAGCTTCTCTAACTTAGCTTTCAAGAAGAGACAGCGACCCAAGTGGCAGAACCCATTTCTGTCCAGCCACAGGGCATCTGTCATGCCTAGTTAATGAAAGCCAGGGCAGAATTAACCTGAGAGTCAAGTCTTCATGCCAGAAATCAGTGTTGGGGAAGAGGGCACAGGCGGGGTTGCTGGTGGAGGGGAGGAGCAGAGGTGATCATTAAGAAAACAGAAGGAGCCATGAAGAAGGTGTTGCATAAACAATTTAACCACTTCTACCCTAGTGCGTTTTGGGGGGAAGTGTTAATTAAAATGTGTTACTTATGCAGCATCTTTTGCCCTTTGATATCTTCAAGGTACCTCCATATCCACACGTAGCTCAGGCACTCAGTATAAAGGGTAATCTGGCTCATGCCACCTAGACATGATTCAGCTTTTTTTTTTTTTTTAATGTGAATTCTGTGGAAATAAACTTTGGAAATGATTTTTTTTGCATGTATTATTTGGATGATATGAATATCAGGGTGATTTTATTGGAAAGAAGAGGAAAGTAAATATGGGAGAAGAACAGGGAGACAGCTGGCGGGGGGAGATGATTTTGCTTCTCAAATTATGGACTGACTTCATGTATAAATCTGCCATCTCCCCCTTTCTTCTGAGCAACACGTTTCTCTCCATCCACCGTCTGTCTGAAGTCAGTATGAGCACTGGGTTCCTCTCTTGCATCTGGGCCTCAGACAATTCAGTTTTCCTGAAGACTTTTTTGGGCTGCAACTTTAGACCTAGAGCCGTATCTCCATTTTACTCAGTTGCTCAAGGTCACCCAGACAGTTAGTGGAGAATCCTTGAGAGAACCCCACTAATTAGACCTGTAATCTAATCTCTTTTCACTTTGCTTCTCCCTGAAGTGATCTTACCTCTACTAACTTCTAAAATCCTTAAAAAAAAAGAACTGTTTAGAACACACTCTTTTTGTATAGTTGTTGATCTTTCATTGAACATACAGGGAGAAAGGGAGGTTATTTCCCCTCCTATTGGGATTAGGATAAGTGAAAAGGAAGGTAGGAGGCCAATTTCTGCTTGGAATTCCACTGCAAAAGGATTCTGTCCAACTCAGGAAGGTTTGGGCTTATTAGTATTTGCTCCAACGAACCTGCAAGTTCTCTCCTTCATGGACAATGTAATTACCAGCTCCTGGAAAGGAAGAACGAGAACTGGCTCAAATGATTTGACCACTCAGTCACCAATACTGGACATGCTCTCTCCCACCTCTTGTCCCCCTCCCCACAAAAGCGCATGCCCGAGTACGCCCAAACACGTTGGCGTTTTCACACTGGGTGTCTCTGTGGCACATCTCTCCCTTACCTTGGCTCAGTGGTTTGCCTCCACTCAGAAGCTGCCAGTAGGTTCTGTCATTACTGTTGGCCCTTAGGCCCTGAACAGAGGTGATGTAGGGGCCCCATTCGCTCTCCTCCATTGTGAAACTGTGGGGAAGGAGAAGGAGTTACAGGGACTTAGAATTTTCAGAGGAAATCCTACGCGAGCTTTTCTCACACTCTAACAAATCTGAGAATTGCTTGATGATGTTACAAAAATGCAGATTTCCTGGCCCCCTCCCCAGATGCTTTGATTTTTAGGTTGGGGCTGAGGCCCAGGAATCTGCATGTTTTATGAACACTCCAGATGATTCTGGTGCTGGCGCTGTACATGCTAGATTAGAGAAATGACGTCCATGGTTTCTGCCACAGTTCTGGCTATACTAGGCACTTTTAGGTCAATAATGTCAACCTTCCACCTCAAAGTAGCGGCTGTTGAAGATATTCATGGTAGAAAGTGCTAACTTCAAATCCTAGACATATCATAAGTTGGTGGGTTTTCTCTTAGGAAGGAGGAACAGGAAAGAATAATCTGATATTTCATGTTGTATTTGTTAAAGAGTGGCATGGTCAGTGTCGGATTCATATTCCTTAGTCCTATTTCTATACCTTCCCGGAAGCCCTCAGAGGCAGCCTTTAAAATATATTTTACATTACACATGTATGTGTGTAGAGAGATATGTCTAGACGTTATTCCAGTAATGTCCATTATTCTCTCTTTACAGCATCCACACCCTGTTGTTGAACATAATACATGTCGACTAGATTTAAGAAGCCAATTCAATGGTACTTTTCAAAGTATCATTTAGTATTTGACCTCCTAGGCCAAGGAACCTGAATTCAGGAGTCTGTGAATTTCCCAAAAGAGGGATATGGAGAGGTTTCAGGGCATCTGTGAAACCCCACTTTAAATGCTAGATTTTCTTTGTATGTTCATTTTTCTGGGATGAGTATTCATTACATTCGTCTGGTTTTCTTTTTTTTTTTTTTAATATGGAACGCTTCATGATTTTGCATGTCATCCTTGTGCAGGGGCCATGCCAATCTTCTCTGTATAGTTCCAATTTTAGTATATGTGCTGCCAAAACAAACACCATTCATCTGATTTTCAAAGGGGTTAGTGATTCAAAAACAATTCAGAACCATGGTTGCAAAACAAAAATGTCTGACTTCACAAGTTCTATTTATTGAAGGACTTTTCTGAAATAAGAATAAACTCTGGAAGTTATTAGTCCATTAAATGAACATTAATGTATTACCTATTATATGCTAGAAGATGAAATAGCTCATCTCCTCTTTAAGATTCCCATTGTGAGATGGGGCTGGCTAGCCAAGGCTCTGACCCAGAAGGGCTTTACATGTGCTTGGGATTTGGGTGCAGACATTCTTACTGAGTCTTTAGAGACAACATAAACACCTTAACCTCAGGTTAGGGAGACATACCCGAATATAGTCTTGTTCTCTTTCTGAGCTTTCTCCATCACATCTAGGAAGACAGAACCTTTTGGCACAGTGACATTGGTGAAATATGTTTCATTTATTCTCACAGAGTAATTGACTGAGATATTAGAGGGTGAGTCAGGAGGCGACACCGTTATAGGCACAGGATTGGAAATGTTGAAGTTACCTGGAGGAGACAGAAGAGCCAAAAACAACATTCAGAATAATGAGAATGATATTAGAGGCGGTACACCTATTCACCTCCCCTTCTAGGGCTCTTTTTCTTTATGTAAAGACAGATTTGATACAAGGAGCAGGTATTACCATTAAGACATGGTAAGAGGCAGATCCTTCACATAATTAAAACAGCAACTGAAACTAGAAACTCACCAGCTTGTGAAGGGGGGACATTCGGCTTAAATTCCAGCTGTTTAAGCAATTCATTTGCCCAACCCCCCTTTCTCACAGATCTCTATCTTTTTTTTCCAGCTTTGGTTCAGGCATACAATAATGTTTGCTTTTTTCATCTCTTAACACTTACTAAAACTAGTTACAGGAGCTGTACTAGTCATGTTACATAGATTACGTCATTCGCTCCTTGCAAAAACCTATGTTAGATACTCATCATTCCCATTTTTTACATTAGAGAACAAGCTTAGAGTTTATACAATTTGCCCACGGCCCCTCAGATTTTAAGTGGCAGAACCAGCAACATATAGAGTTACATGTTGCAAAATCATTTATTTGAATAAATGGCTCATGCTACGATTTTTGAAGCGTACTGCCACATTCCTTCCACACTGATCTCTTATTTCCCTGATGTATCTCTCACCATGGGTAACAGAAGGTCAGAGTCACAGAACGGATCCTCTCTATACTTTGTTTAGGATGGGAATGATGCTCAGATCTCTCGAGACCCAATAACCAGGAAATGCACCTTTGGAGATAGACATTACTTATTCAAGAGTGCCTTGTTTATCAATGTTTGAAACCTCGACTGATGTCTGGCAGCCAGTTAAGAACAAGTCCTCAAGTGATGACACGAATTCTGTCTGGGAACTGTTATGTTTTAAAGGTTTTTCTGGTTACTGTTGGTCCACAAGGACACCTAAATTATTGCATGCTTTGTGTATTATAGTGAAAGGCAAAGTGGTCTGCTAGTTAGATCTTTTACCTGCACTAGAGACACAAGAGTTAACATCCAAGTAGGTCTTTCCCATCACAGCAGGTAAGATCTGCGCTGCGGCAATCGGAATACTGAATGCTCCTTGAGAAATTTCCTCGAGCACTGTGTCCAGAGTTTGTTGGCAATTCCATTGACTTTCTTGGTAATAGTCTGATGACACAAAAAGGGCCTGGGAAGAAGAGAGAGAGAGGGAACAAGAGACATTTCCAATCTCCAAAAAAGAGGAAGCCTACATCTAACTAATACATTAATTCAGTATTTATTGAACATTCACTACATAGGAGTCACTTTAGATAACTTGGCTATCTTACAAGTTTGGGTGGGGAGTTGGGGGACTGCTTAATAACACAACCTATAGTAGCTCTGGTGAGAACAGACTTTCTCTGCTATATTCCCTCCTGTATCCCAACACTGGAAAAATACCTGTCAGACAGGAGGAAGGAACTCAATGGATATTGTTGACACACTATTGTAAAAGGGGCCCTACGATGAATGTCCTGAGAGAAGCATCTCATGGCACGCCTTTCAAAAGAGGAGAGGAACTCATAAACATTGAGTGAGGCTGAGGAAAGGCTTCATGGAGAAGAGAGTAATTGAGGTAGGTCTTGAGTAGTGGTCTAGGAGAATTGTGGAAGAAGAGGCCGAAGAAGGAAGCTGGATCAGACTGAATATCAGGGGGACGTGTCTGATATCATTTGATTGACAATGGGAAGTCTAATAATTTGTTGAAACTGTCCAGGTAGCAGAATGTAAGCTCAATTAAAGAGGCAGAATTGTCAAGTAGCAAAAATTGGGAAGGTATTAGAGTGAGCAAAACAAGAACTAAAGTGGCGGGACTTGATGTTCTGCTCTGCAGTTTCCCGGGGACTGACAATCTCTCTTTTCACCATTTCTTGGGGCTCTTGAAGCTAACCGAGGAGTCAACAAGCATTTGTGGGATGGTAAGAAAAAAGCAAAACTGATGATATTGTGGGCAAGGGGCTTGCGAACCTGCTGTGAATTAATGTCACCTGCAGGGCTTTTAAACAAGACCATGGCTCACATTCCACTGCTGAATTTCTGTATTAACTGGCTGGTGTGGGGCCTGGATGTTTGTGTTTTCTTCTTCTTCTTTTTTTTTTTTTATTAAATGATAGCTGTATACATTAATACAAACATGGGGTACAGTGTAGTGTTTTCATATACAATTTGAAATACTTTCATCAAGCTGGTTAACATAGATTTCATGTCATTTGCTTAGTCATTGTGTCAAAACATTTCTATTCTAGTTCTCTTAAAAACACTTTTAGGTGATTCAAATGTGCAGCCCAAATGGGAAACCACTGCTTTATATCAAGTTCCAGCTTGGCCAAGGCAAACAGCAATATAATTAGTAACAACAACAATACAAATAACCTTAGGATTTGATCTCTGCTTACATCACCAGCCTCGTCCTATGATGTTTCCCAAGGACTCTATGCTGGCCACACTGAACCAGCATGTGGAAACCTCTTCAGAGGGTGCCTCAAAAATGTTTCCGCATTTTAAGAGATGTTTTCTGTGTATTGCTTTTTGAAGTTGAATGGAAGGTACCTTTACTAGTCAAGTGTAACTAGACATGCTCCATGCATACATTTTACCTCAGTTTGTTCACTTTGTGAATGATCAATTTTACTTCCAACAAGATTGCTTAAATCGTGCCCCCCTCCATATGTGATGTGACGTTCTTTTGTGCCTTTGCATCTTTCTTTTTTTTGATTTTTTTTTTTTTATTGTTTGAGATTCATTCAGGATACAGAGAATTAGGTTGCACTGATCACATTTATTAGATAAAGTCCCTCTTCTAATTGTGTTCCATCTCCAAGAGGAGTGCCATACACCGTGACCTCCATCCCCCTCTCTCCTCCCCTCTCCTCACTCCCTCATTCCCTGACTGCCCCCCGTGTATTAGCTTATCTATTTTGTCCTTGCTGTTATCTCTCTTTTGAAAGTTCTCTCACTCCAAATCAGCCTGGCAAACACTCATACTAGTGATTTCAGTAATTCTTTTTTTTTTTTTTTTTGCTGTAAACCTTCTTTTATCTTGTCTTGTTATCTACCTCTTAGAGTTGTGTAAATCAATGAATGATTGCAGGAATAAAGTCCCTGACCTCAAGAAATGTATGCATTGTAGTTACAGTGTAAGTATTGAGCATAAGTTTTGAGACCTACTTCCTGGGTCCTATCTCCATTTGCACAATTTTCTAGTTTTGTAATATTAGCCAAGTAACTCTGTAACTCACATTCCTAATCTAGGAAATGGAGGTAACACAGTAGTCCCCCCTTATCCGCAAGAGATGACTGACACTATGAATGTGTCAACCCTTAAATATACTGTTTTTCCTATTCATACATTCCTCTGATAAAGTTGAATTTCTTAGTCACAGTAAAAGATAAACCACAACAATAATAAAATAGAACAATGATAATAACCCACCACAGCATCACTGCTCTTGTGCTTTGTGGCTGTCGTTAAGTAATAGAAGGATGACGGTGACAGTAATAGAAGGATGACTACTGAGTGACTCAGAGGCGTGGAGTGTGGACAGTATGAACTCACTGGAATAAGGGATGATTCACATCCCAGGTGGAATAGAGCAGGCAGGTGTGAGGGTTTATCACACTACTCAGAATGACACACAATTTAAAATGTGAGTTGTTCACTTCCGAATTTTCCACTTAATAGTTTCACACCATGGTTGACTGTAGGTAATTGAAACTGTGAAAAGCAAAACTATGGATGAGAGGGACTATTGTATATGGTGGAGTGTAAAATTGCATGGGATAGAATAAGATAAGTTGCAGTAGACTAGAATTTCTGACAGAAATTGTAATTAGGAAAAACTTCATAGAAGCATTGGGTGTGGGAAGGTTAATGTTGTAGGCAGGAAGATTTCAGGCAGGGGAGGGGAATGCTTTGAGCAAAATCAGAGTTAGTATAGGAACCACAGAATGGGTAATAGGAGAGGACAAAGATGCTCTTTCCGCCATGACTCCCCTCTGACTCACCTGCATAGCATCTCCCGTACTAAATACATTTCCAATGAGACCATTTTCTTTTTTCTCAGACAGAATCTTCTTTACCAGTGACTCTGTATGATTACTGATCCTCTCTACAGCCTTCTCATCTGCTTTGATCTGCCCATTCATCAGTCTCCTTTTCACACAGGTCAGAGCCAGGACGGCCATTGCACCAGTATCTGTCAGGACACAAAACATTGCTGATAGGGTGACCACCCATCCGACTCTGTCCTCAGCTGAAAAATTTTAGGGCTAAAAGTAGGACAGATCGAGAAAAATTGGGATGGTTGATCATGCTAATTGATGATGGGAGGGAAGGGTTTCAAGATGCAACAATCATTGCTCCAGAAATTACCACCTAAATGTTTTGAAATTCTTGCCCTGTGTTGAGTGGCCAGGTTCCTCATACTTAGTATCTCAAACCATGGTCATAAAAACACCTACAGATTTGTAGGTGGGCACACATGAAAATTCTTCTTTCTTTTTTCATCCTAATTCCTCTCACTTTTTCTATCTTTCTCTATCTTTTCAGTCATATTGGTAAAGGAATTAAGAAACCTAGGATGATATACCAGACAAAATGAAAGATGTCTTTGTAAGTCTCTCAAGAATTCCCTTATATTGATTAAAAAATAGTACTTAACACCAAGGTGGGTGGATTGCCTGAGCTCACAGTTCAAGACCAGCCTGAGCCAGAGCAAGACCTCTGCCTCTAAAAATAGCTGGGCGTTGTGGCGGGTGCCTGTAGTCCCAGCTACTCGGGAGGAAAGAGAATCGCTTGAGCCCAAGAGTTAGAGGTTGCTGTGAACTAGCACTTTACAGAGGGTGACAAAGTGAGACTCTGTCTCAAGGAAAGAAATACAGTACTTAGCAGAATTTTTACTCAGTAAACCTCCTTAAGGGAGAGGATGAGTCAAGAGATTGGGGGAAGGAAGGGTGAGGGTTATTTTTCTGACTTGATACTTGGTGCCTCCTGTGTCCATTAGTGTGGTCCCTTCCCTCTCTCATAGGAAAAGGGTCTCAGAAATCTCACATTCTCCTTGCTGTCTAGAAATACTGAATGCTGATTTTCTTGTATCTTCTTGGAGAAAGATGAGCTTGTGTGTTTGGAGTCATAGGGGCTGAGCTGACTAGAGACTTCCTTTTGGATGTTGAAACTGACACAGTGAAAAATTTCTGGCTCTTCTCCAAGATGAATACATACTTTATTGTGTAAAATATTAGAATCTGTCACTGAGGAAGTGGTATTTTTTCGAGTCAACCCCATGTTTACATTTTCTGCATAAATTAGAGAAAGATGAAATGTTAAGATAAACGAATTTCACTGTATTTCCTTCCCCTACAACTTATACTTCCTAAAATGTTTTATATGAGTATTCTCATCTGTTACCCTAATTTTACAAATTAGGATCCAGAGTCAACATCCACTGGTTATACAGGCAGTCCCTGAGTTACGAACATCCAACTTATGAACAACTTGCACTTACAAATGGGGCTATAACAGGTAATCAGTAAATGTACCTGTTTCAGCTTACATACAAATTCAACTTAAGAATAGACCTAGTTCATTCTTTACCTGGGAACTGCTTGTATAACTCAAGGGGGAACATGTGACCTTTTGATTTCAAGGTGGTTCTCTTTTAAGCACCAAAGGAGGCAAACAGCTTCATCTTTCTGTGGTGCACACCTTTTAAAGAAAGGATGTGTTCTGTAAAATTTAGATTCAGTGAAAAGGCCATGGTTAAGCATCTAGAAGGCCACATGTGACCCCAAGGCCACAAGTTCCTCACCCCTATGGCTCTTCCTTTTATACCACACATCTAGAAAGAGGCTTAAAGGCCACCCATTATCCCTTCTTCTCCAAAAGAAAATTTTCTTCTGAGGGGACTAGGGTTGAAGAAAAGAGACAAAACAAACAAACAAACATCCCCCCCCCAAAAAAAAACCCCACAACAATTACTTACTGGTAGAAAAACGCAAGGGCAAGATGTGCTCATGACCATGTCCTTTGTACCACAGAAGGTGGATTTGGTGACTCACCTACTGAGAACTGGCCGCTCAAATAGTAGTTTTTATTTTCAGGAGAGAAGAGTTCAGTGACTTCGGGGATTGAGTAGCTCCCATTGAAGAGACATAAGGCCAGCAGGTTCAGGCTGAGCTGGTAGTAGTTAGTCAGTGGGTTGCCATCGTGTGCTCCTGGCAAAGAGGAGAAATACCTCACTCAGGGAAGGGGCACTGAAATAAAACATTTTCCATCTATTCCTACTTATATGATTTCCATTTCTCCACGTTTAAGGAGAGGTGAGTAATAGAAGTCTTGTGCCTATAATCTTAGCACTCTGGGAGGCTGAGGTGGGAAGATCTCTTGAGCTCAGGTGTTTGAGACCAGCCTGAGCAAAAATGAGAACCTCTTTCTCCTAAAAATAGAAATAATTAGCTAGAATTGTGGAGGGCACCTGTAGTCCCATCTATGGGGGAGGCTGAGGCAGGAAAATTGCTTGATTCCAGGAGTTTGAGGTTGCTGTGAGCTATGCTAATGGCACAGCACTCTAGCCTGGGGAACAGAGTGGGACTCTGTCTCTAAATAAATACTAAAAGAATGGGTAGGATTCTGTCTCTAAAGAAATAAATAAATAAAGGAGATCACCCATAGAATCAGCAAGCCTGATTAAATGTTTTAAAAGACATTTAAAGTCTATTCAACTCCTTTCATTTTACAACTGAAGGAACCCAGCCCTCAAGAGATTAAGATGTTATCCAGATATTTAGGTAGTTACAGAGCTATGACCAGAACCCAGGTTTTTCACCTTCAACGCTCTTGCACTTTTAGCAGGAAGGTGTCGGATCTATAAGTCGGAGTTGAAGGTCATTTCAAAGAAAGATAGCATCAGAGGGACTAAACGAATAAAAAAAAATGGCAGTTGAAATAAATCCAGTGTACGTCACTAGTGGCCCACCATGGTCAACTTGTTCTTCAAGTTGATAAAGTACTTTCGCCATCTTTATCTCTTAGGCCAGCACTGGATGCTTTGGTACTTATGACACAGCGTCCCGCATTAGGCAGCTATTCCTGGTATAATTTTTTATTTGTCTAAAAGCCAAGCTGCTGGAGGACTTGAGAACACGGTGTGTGCGTGTGTCTGTCTGCCATCATATGTAAAGTAGTATGTGACACAGGGTCAGCAATCAGTTGAACATATTTAAAATGAAAATTCATGATGTATTTGGAAACAAGAAAGCAGAGTGGCCTGTGAGATGAAGTGGGATAATGAGATGAAGAGGAGGAGAAAAGAGTGGAGGGAAGAGATCGGAATCACGGGAAGAGATGACACAGTTCGGAATCACGGGAAGAGATGACAAGGTTGTCTAGGGTCTCGAAACATTTGATTCTTACCCATATTTTCGATTTCTGCACGGAATTTATTTTCTAGCTGGCCAATCAGGTGGTAGTCATAGATAACCTTTTCATCTTGGGTATGACATGCTCCCAATGCCATTACAATCAAGGCAAGCTGTCCTGAGGTTAAATTTGACACTGAAAAGAAAAGTGTTCAAGCTTAACAAGGTGCATGCCAATGATGCTTCTGGCCTTCTGTCTTCCCTGCTGCTCATGTTGCCTGTCCCTGTATTCCATCTCACTCCACACAGTCCTAGGAACTGGTACACAATATTACTATGCTGAATATTGTAGGCGATTGTAACACAGTGGTAAATACATCCAAAAATCAAACAGGTACAGTAAAGATATAGCATAATAACCTTATGGGCCCACTGTCATATAGGCAGTCCATCATTATGTGGTATATGACTACCCCATCCTTTACCCCCAAAACAGAGCCTTTATAGCAGTACTACATAAATGCAGTCTTTATATAGATCTTAGTCTTTTCCATGAAATCATGGAATCTTTTGGAATTGTGACATTCTTATAAAAATAAAGAAAGAAGGTAAAAAGATAAATAACGAGACCTTGATGAGAGGGGGAAGGATAGGTAGGGTAAATTCACACCTGACTGGTGCAGGGCACACCTGGGTAAAGGGCACACTTAGAACTTTGATTTAACATGGACAAAAGCACATATGTAACGAAACTGTGTGTACTGCTGAAATATTCTGAAAATTTAAAAAAGACCTTGGTATTTTTTTTTCTCTGTGTGCTACCACCTTGCCAGGATAGTAACAAATGATTTTTATATTTTGCATTATAAATATCAAAACTCTCAGGCTTCTCACAATTTTTACAATGATATTATTACATAGGTAAGGTGTTTGCATTTCCCCCTTATATTAATTAGAAATCTCAGGCTCAGTATTGACATGACTGGCTCAAGGCTGAGCATGGACTCAAACCCATTCCAAATTTTTACTGCTTCTTGGTTTCCTCTCTCTTGTCACCTTTCCTAGTTATGGCCCTCATCCCTGTGTGGGTGTGAACTCAGCTAGCTTATATAACAGTATTAACAGATAAAAGCCCATAGCTTTTCCTTGTGGATTCTTGAAGCAAAATGATCTTTAGGAGCAAGCAAGATCTATCTCTAGAGGAAGTGGCAGAGGATTGGTATTTGGAGGCACCTTTCTGCCACCTCAAGTGTTAAACATCTAGGATAGATATAGCAGGGATACTCCGGACACTTAATTTTTAGGATTTGTTAGTGACAATCTTTCTCATTGGTAAATCTTTTGCTCAGTCTTCCTGAGAACATAGGCACTCACCATTCCGTTGCATATTGTATTTGACTTGTTGAAGCAAGTGTTGCTTTATGACTGGGTCTGCGATCCCAACCAGTCTCTGGGACAACAGGACGTTGGCAGCGTCTGTTCCCCTGGTATATTTTGATTTGTCCATTGCACGCAACAGAGGTGCTAGACGGAAGTAGTTTTCTTCACTTATGGCTGTAGCAGAGGAGAAATGAAACACAAGACTCAGAAAATACTAAGACTTGGAGCAAAGGCATTAAAATATTTAAGAATAGGCATGGGACAGACCTAGACCAATCCAGTGGCCAGTGACTATGTTGGTGGAATAATATAAAGGCGAGTCTGGAACCCTTGCCCCCACACCAGACATTACTTTTTTAACAACCAGCATGAAAATGGCTGTACAACTGGTACAGCCTCAGCATGTGTACTGGCAGAATATCGGTCTTACCTGAGGGATATAGTACCGTTCCCTAGTTTTGTGAAACAGGCCTACAGAGAGAGTATTCTTAAAGAAACTCTAATTTCTTAGAGAGAAACTCTAATTTCTTAAAGAAACTAATTGGAGGCTTAATTGCAACTAGAATATACATCTGCCTTCCAGTCAGAAGTACTTTCTACCTTCTGGATTCAGTTCTTCCTCTGTCTTCTTTGAAATCAATTGATTTAATATTGAGGAAATGCAGGGAAAAAATCCTATGGTATGCTGGTGATTGACCCTAAAACTTCACCGTTTGGTTGTCAAATTGGCCAAGCATTAAGATAATTAATTATTCAGCATTAGACACCCTTGAATGTGCCCACCTCCCAGTTTTGGTTTACAACATGTCTAAATTCCAGCAATTGAGGGAATTCAATTATACTGTGGAAGTAAAAAGAGAATCCAGATCCCTCAAAGAACTAGCAGAGAATAAAAAGAATTCGTTTCCCTCAAAGAACTAGCAGAGAATAAAAAGAATTCGTTACCACTTGAAACACAGGACAATTTCTCAACATACTTCATTCGGAACCTTGAGGAGTAGCCACAAATGCTACTCACTTCCAGATTGTAAGAAGAATATGAGTCTTGGATTTATTCAGTCAGACCTTGGCTACACTCTGTGCCCCCTGACTTATGGGTGTGAATAAATTACATAACTTTTCTAATCCCCCATTTCCTCATTTTAAAATTATGGATATTAACACCTGCCTTACAGATAATGGACAAGAAATCATTTAATAAATTATAAAATGCTATATCTATTGTTACTTGCAATCAACTGGAATTTTTATCAGTAGTTGAGAAGCTAGGAAATGTGATTTCCCTTGCCCATTTTTTCTTCACTCTAAAAGAAAGAGTCAAGAGGATCTGAATGGAGTGATTGTAGGAAGGTCATGGTTTGTTGCCAGCACAATGGGACAATTGTGAATTGTCTCTCCGAGATTTTGTGGAAGCGTCCAGTTCAGTAGATTTTCTGGCTCTGAAACAGGCTTTTCCTGGTCAACAACTCAAATCTGCTTCCCTGACCACTAAAGATAAATTTAATTATTTTGAACTTCAAAGTTCAATAAATTGAACTTCAAAGCCTCCATAAAGATCTTCTGTTCTTCATCTCCAACAGGAGAAATGTCAGGCCAGGAAGAAAAATTAGAGTTGGCAGATTCTCTGCTTTTGCTTTAGGAATACAAGTTTGTTTTTTGATCTCTTCTTATTTGCTTCAGAGCTCAAAAAAGATGTAACCACAGATGGTACCACCTAATCATCTTTGGGCTGGTTTGAAACTGAATTCCAGAATAAAGTCTCACAACTGGGAAATCATACACCAGAGAGCTACATCAGACTCATCTTTGCTTCAATACCCTCCCCCCATTACCTTCCATTTATGGATGAGAGTAAAGAAATTCAGAAATATTGGGTCCTTCAACTACTAAGAGCTTAAAGTAGACCTGAACCTAGGTGTCATTTCTCCTTATTAGTCTTTAAGAGAACCACACAATCTCTGGAGCCAACACTTAGAGGAGAGATGATGAGACTTTTACCCATGTCTCCTTGGAAAGAGTTGAAGGGAGGGAGGTATGCAGCTTGGAACATCTAAACCAACTAATGACTAGAAGACAGTCCTCATTATTTGAAGGGTATTAATTTTTTTTTCTATGTAGTTAAAAGTGGTTAACCCAAAAAGCATGGGTTGAACTTCAGAAAAATAGATTGCATATTTAAACCAAAGGATCAATTTTTTTTTTTTTTGAGACAGAGTCTCACTTTGCCACCCTCTGTAGAATGCTATGGCATCATAGTTCATGGCAACCTCAAATTCTTGGGCACAAGTAATCCTCTTGCTCAGCTTCCCAAATAGCTGGGACTACAGGCACCTGCCAAACGCCTGGCTGTTTTTTAGAGAGGAGGTCTCGCTCTGGCTTAGGCTAGTTTTGAACTCCTCAGCTCAAGCAATCCACCCACCTCAGCCTCCCAAAGTGCTAAAATTACAGGCATGAGCCAAGCGGTTGGCCTCTTTTTCCATGATCTTGAGAAGTTTCTGGGATCATGAATTTTCTGTCATTGGAAATTAACAAGAAGAGACAGTTACTTGGGTAAGGATGCTGTGCTAACAGGCTCTGAACATAAAGGGAGCAGGTAGGCAAGTTAACACATACACTGTGATTCCTCTCGAAAAACCCTACGTTGTGGTGGGACTTTCCTCACCATCTGCCACCCTTTCCATCACTCACAGAGTCAAATCACATATGGAATTGAAATAGGATCTTTCCCAAGTAACTACACAGCGTCCCCTGTGAACAGCCCTCAGTAGGACTATCACACTACAGTAATTTTAGCTTCAAGCTTACTCACCACAGGTCTTGCATAGTTGGCTTGGGACAAGAGAAAAGAGTAAGAGCCCCAGCAGGGGCAGCTGATATGATTGTCTCATCTTTCCAGCTGTGTTCTGGAATGTCAAGGGCTTGGCTGGCTATGTATTCGGTGATGGGCAGAAGGCAGTGAGCACTCCTCTTTCAGTTTGCCTCAGACTCTTTCACTCAAGCTAATATTGAGCAACACCAGAGGGTGTGGTCAAGTGTATTTGTCCATGAAATGTGGTGAACAGGAAGAAGACTTGAATGGTATGGCTAGAGAGAATGAAGAAATAAAGGTTCTTTGTTTCTTTGTTTTCTGTTCTAAATCTTTCACATTTATTACTTGCTTTCAGCCTATTGAACATATAATAGATGAATGACTGTTTTTAGCAATGTTTCTTTTTTTTATTTCATTTTATGTTTCATTTATGTCTCTTGAGAGATTAAATTTGATCAGGCAAACACATACAATATATGAAAAGGGAAGGAAAAGTTGTAAGTCTGAAATTGGAGCAAGAAGGACTGGGGGGCAGGCATATAAGAGAACCTTTGGCATAGTAGTTTTGCAAAAAGTTTTCAATATATTTGGGGAGGGAGTTCATTTTTATTCCATAGATTTATTAGATATTGGTGAGGTCTGGGCTTTTTAGCATATCCATCACCTGAATGGTACACATTGTACCCAATAAGTAATCTTTTATCCCTTATCCCCTCCTGACCTCCTACCTTTGGAGCCTCCAACTCCACCCAACTTACTGCAAAAGACATCATTTCATTATTTCTTATTGTTGAGTAGTACTCCCTCAAAGGTCAGTGGAGACTGAGGTTGATTCCATATCTTTGCAATTATGACTTATGATCTGTGGTAAACATGAGTGCATATAATGAGTGATATAATGATTTATTTTCCTTTGTAGGTGACTAATAGTGGGTTTTCTGGATCAAATGGTAGATCTCCTTTTAGTTCCTTGAGAAATTGCAATACTATTTTCCATAGAGATTGAACTACTTTACATCCCCATCAACAGTGTATAAGTGTTGCCTTTTTACTGTATCCATACTATACTAGAGCCTATGTGTATTGTTTTTTGACTATTTATTTGTTTATTTATTTAGAGACAGAGTCTCATTTTGTTGCTCTCGGTAGAGTGCCATTGTGTCACAGCTCACAACAGCTTCAAACTCTTGGGCTCAAGTGATTTCTCTTGCTTCACCCTCCCAAGTAACTGGGACTACAGGTGCCTGTCACAACAGTTGGCTGTTTTTAGAGACAGCATCTCCCTCTTGCTCAAGCTGGTCTTGAACTTGTGAGCCCAGTCCATGTACTTGCCCTGGCCTTGCAGAGTGCTAAAATTACAGGTGTGAGCCACCATGCCCAGCCTGTTTTTAGACTTTTTAACAATAGCTATCACTAGGTATTTACCCAGAAGAACTAAAGCATTTTACCACAAAGACATTTGCACCAGAATGTTCAGAATGTTGCAGCTCAATTCATAATTCCCAAGTCATGGGAACAACCCAAATGCCCATCTACCCATAAAGGGATTAACAAATTGTGGTATATGGACTGGGCAGGGTGGCTCACATCTGTAATCCCAACACTTGGGACGCTGAGGTGGGTGGATTGCCTGAGCTCACAGGTTAGAGACCAGCCTGAGCAAGACCAGCCTAAAAATAGCTGGGCATTGTGGCAGGGGACCTACAGTCCCATCTACTTGGGAGGCTGAGGCAAGAGAATTGCTTGAGCCCAGGAATTTGAGGTATGATGCCATGGCACTCTACCAAGAGTGACAAGGTGAGACTCAAAAAAAAAATTGTGGTATATGTAAACCATGGAATATTACTCAACCATAAGAAATGATGGAGCCCTTATATCTTTTATATTTACCGGGATAGAATTGAAACACATTCTTCTCAGTAAAGTATCTCAAGAATGGAAAAAGTAATATCCAATGTACTCAATACCAATATGAAAACAATATATAAACAATTACATGCTTGTACAAATGATAAAACACAAAAATAGTCTAGGAAGGGGTGGGTCTATTTTTAAATAGGGAGGGCGATTAGAGGGAGAAGGGAGGGCATTTGGCTAGATCTCACTTAATGTGCACAATGTGAGGGTATTCAGCACACCTCTTGGGTGAAGGGCTCTTCTACAACTTGAACTTTACCTTGGAAGTGAGAATAATTGCTATTCTGACAGAAGTAAGCTGCTATCTTGTGCTTTTAATTTGCATTTCCCTGATGATTAGTTGAACATTTTTCATGTGATTTTTGGTCATTTGTATATCATCATTTGAAAAACATCTGTTCATGTTGCTTGCCTATTTTTAAATAAGGTTATCTGTATTTTTCTTTCTGAATTATTGTCATTCTTTGTTTATTCTGGATATCAGTCCTTTGTCAGATACATAGTTTACAAATATTTTTTCTCATTTTGTAGGTTGTCTATTTACTCTGTTGATTGTTTCTTTTGCTATGCAGAAGCTTTTTAGTTTAACCAAGCCCCATTTATTTGTTTTTGTTGCATTTTCTTTTGGGGTTTCAGTCACAAATTCTTTGCCCAGGCCAATGTCCAGAAGAGTTTTTCAAAGGTTCTCTTCTAGAATTTTCAATTTCAGGTCTTACATTTAAGTTTTTAATCATTTTGAGTTAATTTTTGCATATTGTGAGAGAAGAGGATCCAGTTTCATTCTTCTGCATATGACTGTTCAATTCTCCCAGCACCATTTATTGAATAGGGTGTCTTTTCCCTAGTGTGTGTTTTTATCTACCTTGTTGAAGATTGGTTGGCAATAGTGGTTTTGACCTGTGATTGTATCCTAAATAGATACTCTGAGTGTTTCCTAGCCCGGGATGAAAACTGGAGAGATTTGAATCCAATGCATGCTGCATTTGAGAAGTGTTGCTTGTCATAGTTCTTATGAGAATCATTCATATTAGAGACTGCCACCAGCCATACATGACCTATATTATATTAAGAGAGAGAGATGCCTTCTACTAATTTGTTGAGAGATTTTATCATGAAAGGATGCTAAATTTTGCCAACTGCTTCCCCCCCCCCCATCTATCCTTTTAATGTATTATTGAATTTGGTTTGCTAGTACAACTAAAGTTGAGGATTTTTAGATCTATGTTTATCAGGGTCACTGGCCTGTAATTTTCTTTCCTTATAGTGTCCTTATCTGGCTTTGGCATTAGAGTGATATTCATTTTATAAAATGAGATTGGAAACATTCTCTCTTAATTTGTTGGAACAGATTATGAAGGATTGCCATTAATTCTCTTTTAGATGCTTGATAGAATTCACCAGTGAAGACTTCTAGAAGTCCTGGGCTTTTCATTGTTGGGAGGTTTTTTTGATTACTGATTCAATCTCCTTATTCATTTTTGGTCTGTTCAGATTTTCTGTTTCTTCAGGATTCATAGTAGGTTGTATGTTTGCAGGAATTTATCTATTTCTTCTAGGTTATCTGACTTGTTAGCATATAATTCTTCATAATAATTCCTTGGCTATCTGTGGTAGCCATTGCAATGTCACTGCTTTCATTTATAATTTTACTTATTTGAGTCTTCTTTTTTCCTAGTTCAGTCCAGATGACTATTCCAGTTGTTTAAATTTCATTTATCTTTCTGAAAAACCAATTCTTAGTTTTGTTTATCTTTTCTATTATTTTTCCAATTCTCTATTTCATTCATTTTTGATATCTTTGTTATTTTCTTCCTCATGATAACTTTGAATTGAGATTATTGTTTTTTCAGTTCCTTAATATGTAAAATTAATTTTTTTCACTTGCAATTATTTTTCTTAATGTATCACATTTATAAGTATGAACTTTGCTCTTAGCAATGCTTTTGCTGTATCTCATATGTTTCCAGATAGATGTGTTTCCATTTTCATTTGTCTGAAGAATTCCGTATTGATTTCGTCTTTGACACATTGGTTCTTCATGAGTATATTATTTAATTTCATGTATTTGTCAATTTTCTGATCTTTCTTGTGTTATTGATTTACAGTTACATATCCTTCTGTTCAGAAAAGACATTCATTATGAGACTTCAAGCTTTTTAAATTTGTTAAGACTTATTTTGTGGCTTAATACGATCTATTATGGAGAATGTTCTTGTGTGCACTTGAGAAAAATGCGTACTATGCTGCTGTTGGATGGAATGTTCTGTGTGTGCCTAGTCTATTTCCTTACTGATTTTCTGACTGGATTACCTATCCATTGTTGAGAGTGATGTATTAAAATCACCTACTGTTATTGTGTTGCCGTTTCCTTCTATTAGTTCTGTTAATATTTGCTTTATATATTTAAGAGCTACAATGTTGAGTGCATAAATATTTACAATTATTATATCTTTTTGGTGAATTGACTTCCTTATCATTACATAATGATTTTTATCCTGGAACATTTTTTAATTTAAATTCTATTTTATCTGAAATACATACAGCCACATCTGCTCTCTTTTGATTATGATTTGAATGGAATATCTTTTTCCATCTCTTTACTTTTATCCTTTTGTGTGTCCTTACAGCTATTGTGAATCTCTTGTAAGCAGCACATCATTGTATATTGTTTTTTATCCCTATAACCAATCTGTGTTTTTTGATTAGAGAATTTAGTGCATTGAAGTCTAAAGTAATTTTGATCAGGACTTACTATTGCCATTGCCATTTTGTTAATTGTTTTCTGATAGTTTTTTTTTTTTTTTTGCAGTTTTTGGCCAGGGCTGGGTTTGAACCTGCCACCTCCAGCATGTGGGGTTGGCGCCCTACCCTTTGAGCCACAGGTGCTGCCCATTTTCTGATTGTTTTGTAGTTATTTTGTTCCTTTCTTCCTCTCTTGCTGGCTTTTGTTATTACTTGATAACATTTTAAGTGGTCTGTTTTGATTCCTTCTTTTGAATGTTTCATGTTACAGGTTTCTCTAAAGCTGTTTTGTTTTTTTTAAAATCAAGATCATAAGTTGTTTCTACTTTGCTGCTGCCAATGGTGATTCTAAATTTTCCTTTTACTTGACCTGATAGTTGATTATCCTCTTCTTTTTAAATGCTTACTTCATTTAGCTGG